CAGTCGGTCCACACCACCCCTTATAGAATCATAGAAGATTAGGGTTGGAAGAGACCTCAGGAGGTCATTTAGTCCAACCCCCTGCTCAAAGCATATACCTTCAGAGCAGAGCATGAGGAGAGCAGTGCACAGACACAGACTGACAGACACCAATTGCAAGAATTTTCCGGTCTCAGGCACTTGGAGCCCATGCATACCTGCAGTGGAATATAGATAGGGACTGTAAAAAGCAACAGAGGGTCCTGTGGCACCTTTGAGACTAACAGAAGTATTGGGATCATAAGCTTTCGTGGGTAAGAACCTCACTTCTTCAGATGCAAGTAATGGACTGTATGTCTCAAAGAAATCCAGTGACAGTAAGGGAAGTAACTTCCCTTTTTCTGCCTGTGCTCCGGCCCTTTCATACCCTGCATTCTGGTTGGTTGTGGAGCAGGCACACAGGGGCTACCCTGCTCAGTCTGGAGGGCTGTGCCTCATACTCAACTTTTCCAGTGTCCACATGTAACCCTCCCTTGTATTAGCCCTGACAGCAACAGTCTTGTGCATATCTCACATTGTGCCAGAACTTGCAGGATCAAGACCATTGTCTCTAGAGTATGTATATGTCGGTATGGGAATATTCTGTGATGAACTGCGCAGCGTTAGCATGCGGTGACACATACCACCTAGGAGAATGAACAAAAGCTTTGATAACAGAGCTGGCAGCACTATTAATTTTTCACACAAAAAAACTTACATTAAAAATAGAAACCCACTGAGGATAAACCTCTGCTATGGTGAAATTCAAAGCAAATCATTTCACTAGGCTCCTTGATGTAGAAATCACTACTGTCATTCTCTGCTGTGTTTTTAAAAAAGACACTGCTGTTAGAATCAGGTTTAGTGTGCAATTATCATTGACAGAACAAGTGACTGCAGATATTTATCAGCAAGCCCAGAGCCACTGCTTTTAGGTATAAGAAATATTGCAGAGGTAACATGTTGCTCGTAAATCCTATCCTTTATTCTGAAATAGTTCGTGCATGCCTTATTCATAATAACAGCCCAAACCATGCACACAGATGTATTATACATACACATACATTCTACCAGCCGCAGCTGGAAGGCAATTAGGAACTACCTACTGCCTGGGGCTGCATGGGTTAAGAATTGCACCTTATCTTTTGGTACATGGACCCAGCCACATTAGAGGTGCCTAGATATGCCATTAATACTTACCATTAATATAGAGAGCTTTGTGTTCAAAGCTCTTTCCAAACATTTTCTGGCTATTCTTGAATCACCTCTGTGCAGTAGGCAAGTGTGAGCGTTATTAGCTTTGTTTCACAGATGGGAAAATTGAGGCTGACAGGCCCATGTATGGAGACAGAATCAGAGCTCCTGATTTCCAGTCCAGTGCATAAGACCAGACATCTCTCCCAAGGAAGGCCCAGAGCTGAGTTCTCTGAGTGGACTCAAACCACCATCCTTTTGGTTGAGGTAAATGTATGGGACATTGCCCAACAGATAAGTGGTGTAATCAGGTTAGCCATTAGATGTACTTGGTGTATTAAACTAACAGTAGTAATGAGTTTTGCTGTACTGCTTGAGTTGCAGCTGCATCCTACGAAATTCAAGCAGTACATCACAGTGTCTGTTTCCTTTTAATCCATTTTCTTTCCTCTGTCTCTTTATGGGCACTTCTGAAGGCTAATCATCGGTAATGAGCATCCTTTGCAGTTTTGGTCAGTGTATTTCAGAAGACCGCCGCTACTGTGAATATTACATTTGCGAGATTGTCTTCTTTAAAGGGACACCCCTGACTGAAAATCTAGTCAATTTCAAAGAAAAAAAGAAGAATCCTAAAGTGGCTTCAGGTGCTACAACCACTTCAAACTCCCCCTTCCGTTTTTCATGGTTTTCCAGTCACGTTCCCAATCCCATTTTGTACATGATTTTCTGTCCATCACTGCTGTGTGAAATACTCACACAAACGGGAAAGTTACTGATTAAACTACACAGGTACACGAGGACAGCAGTGAAACTGACTATACACAAAATGCTGCCAAATAAACAAAATACATAAACTGAATAAACAGAAATAAATATATTTCCTTTTCAGTTCTAGTCATCTTAAGCGTTACTTGTAACAATAGTAGGTACAAAAATTTCAGATGGCAGAGTGATATTTAAGTTGATGTTGTATCTTTACATTCACTGCATTTTGGGGGGAGGTACAATAGAATTATGTGTACGTTTAATGCTCTGGCCTTTGACCCATGAAGAAAAGGTTCAAGTCCTGCCTTTTAAGGAAAACGGTTGAAAATGTGTTTTGTTGTTCATCCTTGTCTGCTAATACATTGGTGCTGGCGCTGGTGATGGGGGCTGCCGCACCCCCTGGCATGAAGCGGTTTCCGTCATATACAGGCTTTACAGTTTGGTTCAATGGCTCTCACCCCCCCCCCCACATAAAAATTGTTCCTGCACCCCTCTGCTAATGGCCATGTCTCCATATTTTAAAACCATCCGACAATCTGGCAAATAATCATCAGTCTCTGTATTACCTGTCAGAATTAAGGTTCTGTGTGTCAGAAGCTTGCTGCACACCTGGCCCTGGTTTACAAATCCTTCACTTTCGTGCTCCGCTTAAACAAAACGACAGGTCGTGGTTTCCCTTTTAGAAAGTCCTGTCTCGAAGGATTATCGTTCTGTGGATTTAGACATGCTGATAAGCCCTAGCGCTGTGGAAACATTGATCCTCTAGTCTAGATTACTCAGTTGCATTTAGATCATTCTAAGCACTGGCATATTAGTTTTTCCATTTGATAAGGTACTAATGGGATAGTAGTATGCCCTGTCCTTAAAAACCCTATTAAAGCTACAAGTCACGTCATGTTAGCTTGGGGGAGGGGGGATTGTTGTTTTTTTAAATGTACAGCTACATTGGTTCCAGAAAAGAAATGGGTTTAAAAAGTCCCTGAGGCTTCCAAGGTCTTAGAAAAGCAAAATAATGCAATACACATGCCTTTGTTCCTTATCTGTAGTGTCAAGGGGAAGTTACAGACAATTCTCTCTCTTCTCACATGTGTTTTTCACTGTGGAGTACAACAAAGACGACAGTTCTAACAGTGTTTATTTATTTTTCTGATACATTTGAACGATGTAGAAGATTGCCATGATGGCGCTCAAAAAGCCTGGGAGGTTACTGTATCTGGGCTGCTTATACATTAATCCGGGCACTCTGCTTCTCAGAGTGTTCCTTCATGTGAATCTGTTTGTTGTTTCGTTTTTTCCTTTTAAAAATACAGTATATTTAAAGGTAGAGTGAGAAAGGGGTGTTGCTGTCAGGAGAAGCACTTCTAACAAAAACAAGAAATTCTTTTACCAGGAGACACTGTTCTCAGGCCACACAAGTCCCAAGTATGGAACGTTCTCTGGGGCCTGATCCTTCTCTGCTTTACATCTTGTGCTGTCACTTTCACCAGTGCAAAGTGGATGTAGAATTCTGTCATTCTGATCTGGTTATGTTTTATACCTGCTTTGCACTGGTGTTAAATGACTATAGAGAGCTCAAAGCAGAAGAGAGTCAGGTCCTTAATCTTTAAAGGGTCATTGTCAATTTGAAATACCAAAATTTTCAGCTGGAAATGTGTGTGTTATGGTTACAAATTACACCTAAGATCACTAGAACTGAAAGAAGTGAATGAAATACATTTTCCTCTCTTTTTTTCCAGTTTACTTTATGTGCTTGACAGCACTCCATATATATAGTCCACTTTCACTTTCCTGTCAGTTAATTAGCTTCTCCCTTGCTGAAACCATCTTTGTAAATATCAACAGGAAAGTTTAAAAACCCTTGTAATATTGTTTTACATCAGAGTGGAATTACAACAGTGTTAGGAAGATATAACAGAATGAAGAATCTGGCCGATTCTTTAAAAATTTCTTTCTGAAACTGGATTTTATTAAAATGTTTCACTTTCAAAAAGTTTTTCTCTGTAAAGTGATTTTTAAATAGCACCATAAGGTTCTATAATTGCTGTATCTCACTGATTATAGTTCATACCTGTTCACATTACAAGTAAAACTGTATTTTCTAACCTCCAATCCTGGTAATTCCCCCAGAATCTGTAAATCAAACATAGTTCTTAAGTCCTACACACTCACCAGTAATAAAAGTCCTGCGATTATTTTATGGCATGGTATACAAATCAGAATTAGTCCAGTTCATTCTCCCAAGCTGGGTTGGCTCTGCAAGGCTAAAAGGAGTAAAAAAATGCTGTTGTAAAATATTACTTTGTCCATGAAGCCAGCAAATATGACTCAGAAAACACATGCACATAGCAGATCTGAAGAATAAGGGCTTGTCTACACTTGAAAGTTATTTTAGGTAGGGTGTGAATAGCAATTCTGGTTGATTTCTCCATGTAGACAAGCCCTGAGAAGGTACCGTTTATATGTAGTCACTTTTCTAACCATCCCCACAATTTAAAATGAGTTGACAGAGACCTAAAAGGAGAGAGAGAACAGCAGATGCTGTATCTGCAGAGGAAACTTGAAATGAGATCCATGCCTCTCTTCTTTAACAGAAACGTTTTTCTAGCCTCAACTTCATGACCCAACAATTCTTATGTCAAGGAATTAAAGTAAGAAATCATCAAGCAATTGGGTCTAAAATAAGTGAGGTCCATTATAGTGGGGTACCATTGAGAAGTATGCAGAGATACATCCTCATTGGAGGGACTCAACCAAATGTCCAGGCTCTGTTTCAGCAGTTGTTTGGTCAGAATTTACAGCCAGTTAAGTGCATATTCTTCAGCTTGCACCCTACAGGCATGTGGATCTGAGAAGTCATTCGCTGCGGAAGTAGTTTGAGTGAGACTGATAGCCTAGATCTTCCTTGTAAGGCAGCACATAAGATGGGTGATGCTGAATGACGCCAACCCCAAGGAAGACCCCGGGATTTAAAAAAAAATGGGATTCGTCGAATACTAACTTTTTTTTTTTGTTCTTGTTCCCAGGAGTGGCCACACGCTGCTTGCCTTCTGGTTTTCTCGTCAGGACGGGAAGCTAAACCGACAACAGACTATTGAGCTGGGACATCACATTCTCAAAGCACACATTTTTAAGGTAACAAGAATTCAAGGAAAGGCTCACACCATCCTCTTCCCTGACACACACAGTCTGTCAATACCCACTATCAGAGAGACACGGTGGGTGAGGTGGTATCTTTTATTGGCCCAACGTCTGTTGGTGAGAGAGACAAGCTTTCCTGGGACCAACACGGCTACAACCACGCTGCAGTACCCGCTATATAAGGTCTGTTCTTGTTGCAGTGTGGCTGTAAGAAGTGTTATTGCTTCAGGCTTCCAAAACACATGAAGAAAGTTAGCTTTTGAGCACTGGTGAGGACATGAGGAATTCTAAAGGGCCAGAAAGTTGGGAAAATCTGCCTTGATTCTAAGGGGGCAGGGGAATTAAAATTAAAACTACCGCACACTGAACAGCAGATTAAAATGCTCCTTGCCGAGTACTTCTGCACCCGACTTACAAATAAATGGCATTACAATTTTGACTGGCCTTAACATTTTGCCAGAGACAAAGGTTGGAATTCTGTTCACAGTATGCGATGCCTTCCTTGTTACCCAGGTTTTCATTTTGTGCCCCCACAGCTCTTCTGAAACTTTCTTAATGTTAAAAATGACAGAACCATAAGTGGAGAGGGCACTAGACAGGGTGTCAAGAGACCTAGATTTTATTCCTGCCTCTGCCACTACCCTTGGTCAAATTTCTTCTGTCTGATTCAGTCTCCTTGTGTGTAATATGAGGATGAGTTCCCTCCTTTGTAAAATGTTTTGTTCTTAATCTGTACATCTCAATGTATGAGTCAAATATAGTATCGGGGTAGCCGTGTTAGTCTGTATCTACAAAAACAACAAGGAGTCTGGTGGCACCTTAAAGACTAACAGAGTCAAGTGTAGTTTGTTTATGATCTACCAGTGAGTGCATGTTTCTGCAGAGCTGAGCTTATTAAAAAATGTCTGGTTACTGCTCCTTAATGGTCCATTTTTACTCTCCAGACAAAGAGTGACCCAAGGGTCACTAGTTAAGATCAAGTTTGACCCACAACTGGAGTCATATCTTCAGGCCCAAAGAATGTTCACCAGTCAGCATAGGAATTGGTTAGGTAACTGCTATAGAGAGAATAAAGCATTTCTTAAATTAATGGGAGCTGTTGGTACTCAGCACTTCAGAAAATCAGGGCACTTATTCAGGGGCTTAAACTTCAGCACCCACTTTGCCAATATTTTTTAGAGCAACAGGAGAGTTTCGGTATCTCACCAGGCCTTATTAACATCCTGCTAGATCTCTTTATTTAATTGCAGCGGCTATATTAATGATCATGTGTAATGGCAGGTCTGCAGCGTTTCGGGAGATTATGGGTAAAGTGAGGAATCCCAATCAGCATATAATTTTCAGATTTTAACATACAAAAGTAGCTCCAGATTCAGCCCTGACATTAATGGGGTCAGTTCCTATTAACATCAGTGCCAACGCTGAATTTGGATCCTAGTCTTTATCATTTTACACTTTATAATGGAGAAAATGGCAGGATTTCAAAATCTAAATAAACCTCACGTTTCATTAAATGAATGAGTTGGCAATAGATTCCAACTTGAATTGAAAAATATTTACCATCCTGGAAAGTGTCTGTTAACATACGAAAGATGTCAGTGTAGCTTTCTGTTTCTAACTACTTGGCAAAATCCTGTGTGTATGATTTTAGTAAGAATAGTTTGCCTCGGTGACAGACAAGTGTAACATCAGGTTGTACAGAAGTCCTACAGAGTTTTGAAAGGGGTTTGGGTTAGATGGTTTTACATGGGAAAAGCACTGTAAAGATTAGCCTTTGGTGTTTCTTAAACAGATTTATTTTTATTCCTTTATTTACAGTAGTTGTTTGTTTAAGAGGATCTGCTTGTATTTTGTACCAAATTGAACCATAGCTGTTTCTTGGAAGAGACACTTTCAAACTGGAACATTTCAAGGAGAAATATAAGTATCTTGTGTCCGTATTCCCATTCCTGTTATTGCAGATACTTTCTGTTTATGAGGAAGTGATTTCTCCTTCACGGCATCTCATTCTGCCTGGTCGTCTAGTAAAATCAGTGTCTTGTAGCTGTGATGTGAGCCTTCTGCCAAGTGAGATGCATGTCAGATCATAAAGTCAGCTTAAATTTTTTCTGCGGTATTGTGTTGGAAGAGCAGCCTTATCTAAACACAAAGGTCCTGATTCTAAATGTACACTGGTTTACACCAGCATAACCCCATTGGAGTTACCTTTTACACTGCTGTGAAAGGAGAATCAGAAGCTAAACCATGGGCGGCGGGTGAAGCTTCCTGCCCCGCCTCTTCCAGTTGAAGCCCGGCCTCTTCTGGTCGAGTCCACACCCCCGCTCGCTTCTCTCAGCCTCTCCCATGGCCCCAGCCAGGACGGGGTGGGGGGCTGAGAGCTCGGCCCGACCACGGCAGGACTCTTGACCCTTGCCAGAGCTCTGAGCGCAGAGCCCATCCCCTGTTCCACCCCTGGCCGTGCTCATGGCCCCACCCCTTCCCCCATGGCCCCTCCCACATTCTGCCCCTTCCCCATAGCTCTGCCCCCACTCTGTCTCTTCCCCCGAGGTCCCGTCCCCTGCTCACGCCGTTCTCTTCCTTTCCCGCTGTGGCCCTGAGACCAGAAAAGCAGCCCTGGGGACATGGCTGGGAGAGGTTTTTCCAGGGGCCCCAAATTGGCCAGGGCCCCATGGGCTCTTGTGGTAATCTGCCACTGCCCCCTCTTCCCCCCTCCAACTCTTCCCCCCTCCCCCCGGTGGCATGAGGTTTGGGGAGACTTAGCCTCCATTACGCGCCACCCATGTACAAAACATTTGGTAAGACTAGGTGGAATTGTGGGATATACACAGATGATATTTTGGCTAATAAAATAAAATTTTAAAACTGGGTTTGTCCTAATACTAATTCCTGTCAGATCCCAAAAGGATCATATCATTCGAGTCTCTGTTCAGGACAGACCCAGGTCTGGAATTTCAATGTGTGATAAATCAGTGATATGCAAAATCACTGAATAACAATCACAAAGAGGTGTTTTGACAGATCTGCGTAGGGAAACTTGCACACTGCCTGTTTGCACTATGGCTCAAGCAAGTGCCTTTTAGCCCCCTCACTTTTATAAGCATATATAAATATCCTCATGTCATTTTTTAAAAAATAACAAAGTATAAATGTCTTCGGTAACTGATTTAAAAGATTAAGAAGGGATCTTAACAGATGGGAACCAGCTTGGAAACCATGCCATGCAATGAAAGGGCATCAAGAGAAACTTACAAAAATTACACCAGCAAATCTAAACTTCAAGGTAACATTGTTCTAAACATCAAGCAAAGAGAAGTCCTTCATTTCAGTCATAACTGTCCTGCCTAAAACGTTAGTGATCCAGAGATGAACTTCCCTTGTCCCTCGATTAAGAGACTGATTAAAATTACAGGCAATGAAAAGAGGCTAATGGAATGAAAAGTTGTCTAATATTCCTTGAAACAGTATTGCAAAAGATCATTAAATTGAATTTAGCTGGCAAATTGTCTTAAAGCAGAGGCCCTTCACTACTGCATTTCAGTTCTAATCTTTTCATGGGTCACAAACAAAAATTAATTTGGTGCACATCTAGTCCCTGGCAGACATTTTTCTGCATCACAAAATCACCATACAATCTAGTATGATTCGGACAAAGGTTTTTAAATAGCCTGAGGATGTAAGAGGTTAGGACTGAGATGCTTTGATGAAGTACTGGGAGGATCCTGGACTGAAACAGGTAGGGTTATAGTAGGTGAGATCTCAGGTACATTGACAGAGCTGCTTTGGAAGGATTTAGAACTGAGATAGTGCAGGGGTCCCTGCACCAGAATTGTAGTTCATTGGCATTGGAAACCTGCACAAAGTCAGTCTTTACTAGTCTCCTGTTCCTGTGTATGAACATATTAATGAGATTAAACCCATTCCTCTTATTTCAGCAGTTTAATCTTGTATTAAAGTAGGATTCATTGTTGCTGACAGATACAGCCTGACTTTATAACTCAGGAAAAGAAAAGGGAAGAATCAGACACTAGCTATGAATTGAGGAGAAATAAAAATTGGTTTCTACAGCTGAACTCTTTTTGTATTGAATGTATTTATTTCATAGAAAACAAGTGCCCCCTTCTGTTGATCAGAGTGTCTTGCATACTCCAAGTATATTTGTTTCAGTACAGTTTGCTAACCACGTTTGCTACAGTATTTTATCTTCAGATGGCTATTTTGAAAGGTGCAGATATGCTTTCTCGTGTCATACCTGATAGAGATTATAGAAGCTTATTTGTTAATGTAATAATACACTAATCATGTTTAGTATTTCTTTTAAATTGCTGCTTCTAATTTGTCCAAATTTTACAGTGCTCACTTAAGTAACTGAAATAAATGTTGATATGTCATTGTTTTATAGTGTGTGATCTAAAAAGCAGGGACTAATAATTGCCAGAATTCCTGAGGTCTTTGATTCCTACCTCCAAATACGCACAAACTTTTCCTCTACAAGCATAGAGTCAAATAAAGTAAAAATCTTAAATGAATCAAACTGTATCATAGAATTTCTATGGATAGAAGTTTCATGCTTGAATAATAAGAGTATAGCAATAGGAATATACTACCGATCACCTGACCAGGATGGTGGTTGTGAACTGCTCAGGGAGATTAGAGAGGCTACAAAAACAGAAACCTCAATGATAATGGGGAATTTCAAATATCCCCATATTGACTTGTTACATATCACCTCCGCTTGTCCTGGAACCCACAAGGGGAGAGGCAAGTCTTGATTTAGTCCTAAGTGGAGTACAGCATCTGGTCCAGGAGGTGAATGTAACTGAACTGCTTGGTAATAGTGACAATAATGTAATTAAATTTAACATCCTTATGGGGGAAGAAGGACCAAAACAATCCAACGCAGTAGGATATAACTTCAAAAGGGGAACTACACAATAATGACGAAGCTAGTTAAATGGAAATTAGAAAGAACAGTCACAAGGGTGAAATGCCTCCAA